TTGCGCTATTAGATAACTTCCCCACACCGGGAGTGATGAATCCTCTATCTATCCACCACAGTCTTGATACATCCTTGATGCAGTCAATCACCACTGTATTGACAGCTCTGAAAAAAACTGCGTTAGGCTAGTGTCAAACTACACCAATCGGTGCACAAGGTGCTCCGGTGATCTCAAGTCTAAGGTTACATGCACCACCATTCGTTAGAGGATTTATTCCATAGAACTAGGGTTACCATCCATATGGAATCCTCTAGTGGGTTAGTCCAGTGAACGTGGCGGTGTATTCGCCTACAGCAGACACCCATGTGTTGCTCCAGGGTCACCAAACAACCTTGACAAGTGAGATTAGACACCACCTTTTGACAGGGTCGTTCAACACTATGATAGTTATCGTATTATCTGTGCCCTTACTTCACAAAAATACTGGGGCTACAGACGTTTCTAGAATGGCCACCATATGTGCTCATAGGGTTCTCACTATCAAGATTTTAGACACTTGATACCCTCATCACAGTTCTACCATTCTAAGGACATATATCAAACATATTGCAATAATAATGATTTATGCGATATAGAATAAAATGCTCCTTTATTGATTAATGAACTTATTACAAAGAGTCAATTCTACAATAATTAATTGGCTCTAGGGCATCCACTCTAACATAAGAGAACCTTGTTTCTCTTACATAACTGCCAAAAACCCTAAAAATTCTTAAGGATGATTTTCTAAAGATTTGTGTCCTAAGTTTTGACTCTTAAAATGTGTTCTTTTCGAACACTACCTGAGAATGTTCATTGTCTAAGCCTATCAAACGTCCATACCCACCATTATGTAAAGATTAAGTTTTTGGCAGAAATGAAAAAGAGAAAAAGAGAAGAAGAGAAGAATTTTTCTTTACCTTTGATTGTTGGGAATGGTCCTCTGTTGTAGCATCGAAGTGCGATCAACCGGGAAGGGGATGAACTGATCTTTGAGTACAAAAACGTCATTTTCTCTTGGAAAGTTTGAGTTCTATGAAAAAACTTAGAATGAGGTTTGCGTTTTATAGAGTGGAAGATGACGCTTGGTTTCTTTTATAAGCGACGCTTAGGTGGGAGCGTGTTTCTAGCCATTGATTGTGATCATGTGTATTAATTTGCGTGAAGAGTAACCTTCATGCTTCAGGAGATCAACCGAATCTTTCTTTATTGAAATTTCAAACGCCGGGTGATTATTCCCTCCACATTAAATGAGCCTCATCGCTATTTAATGTTCAAAAGGGAATATCGTTTCAGCATGTCTTGCATTTAATGCTCATGGTTGACACTTATTACGCAGAGACACGTTTGTCAGATAAAGTTATTTATTGATCAAGACAGCTGTCAAGTGCAACAGATAACATCTGAGGATGCATCGAATAAGACATCATTCCCCATGTCAAATTCTAACATGAGCAAAATGATTCTCAATTTTCAACAGCAAATATTCTAAGTGTTTTAAGTCATGAATGATGGGTAGAGTTCGAAATATATTTTCATAGCACTGATCATGATCTGGACTAGGTCGTGGGCCTTTGTGAAACGATCAGATCAGGTCGTTTGTGTAATTCTCAAAGACCTATGTCATGATTACACTCAGGTGCTAGTTGAGTCAGACTATCAACCTCATGTGTTGTAACAATGTGGCTTGAGACAAGTCAGGTCGCAGCATAATGATGAAGTTCTAAGATTCAATCTTTGAACTTTAAGAACCCGAGAGTTTCTATTACACCTAAAAAATCAGGGCTGACGTTAGCTATGCATAGGCACTAATAGAGTTCAGGAAGGCTTTGTTGCCTAGGAGCTGCCCCGTCGTCCATGACAAAAAGAATACGGTTGTCATCAACTAGGTAGATTCAGGTTTGTTATAAGTGATAAAGGGCCACACACCTGTCCAAGCCCTAGGTAATTTGAGGATATTTCCTAAGTTATCAGCAATGGGAGGCAAGGAAGGACTTGCAGGCATCTATCCACTTGCAGATTTGTAATCATCACCTTCAACTTACTATAAATAGGGACTCCCCTCTCATTTTCAGGATTCGATCCTGAACCCTCAGTCTGATTGTAATCTTTATTTTCAGAGCAAAGATAACCCACGAGGAAGAGACTGACTTGATATTCTCTTTGAATACTCAGTTATTGTATCTCTGCTCGTTGTTCACTATATGTGACCTCTTGTAATCTCTCATATATAAAGAAATAGTGGACGCAGGATTCGCTTTAGGCATCCAAACACCTTTAAAAAATATAACTATTTATTATTCAGTTTGTATCTAATCATAATCATTCACGTGTAATTTCTGAGAACAGCTTAGCACTTTGCACGTACGAGTCATTGGTGTCAAAATCAAGCATCAACAGGAAGGATGAGTCTTGATTCTTTGAGCCTTTGGAACACCTGAGAAATCTCACCGAGGTTGAATGTCACCCTTGCATTATCTCATATTCTCCTCTATATTCCTCATAAATTTACCAATATTGGCATAGAGAGCATTAATTGGTAGAATCGTTTCTCCCAGTATGATCTCCTTGCACTAGTTCTAGCAAACATAGTCCCAGTGGATAAACCTTTGTGATTCATGTAAAATTTTGCTTGCCTATATGTTAATAATCAATAAATCGCTAACTCAAATCGTTTAAACTAGTTAATATAGATTTGGCCCTTTCACTCAACAATTTCTACAAAAAGATGTGCCTACCGAGTAACAAAGATTTAGAAGAAATTCAAACTTAAGACTTCTAACATTAATTACTAAGAAAACTACTGATTGAAACGTTTAAATTATAAGATAAAGGCAAATAAACACTATTAAGTATAGCTCTACAAGACAATATTTGTAGGAAATATATTTAAACGAAATTTAAGCAATACTTGAAACTGAATGTTCACATTTCTTGAAATGAAAATTCTGTTTAATTATGTTAGTTCTATTCACCTCCCTCAAAGTTTGATCTTCGTTTATGAGAATAAGTCTAGAGGGGGTATCTAGGGAAAGGTCTATGATGGATTTGAAGGAAATTTACGAAAAAATTGAAATTTTCTATTAAAGTTTGTTAGAGTTGGTGAACTTTATTCAAGTAGATACCCATTTTAAAGTGCAGTGGAAGATTTTACCAAGTTGATTAATGGTTACCAAGTTAAGCATGAGTCAACAACCAAAACGATAAAGTAAAGCACACAGCATATACATAGTTCGGCTAAAACCACTATTAGCCTACATCCAGGGACCTGTCCAGATTAAAGCTAATCCACTATAACAACAACATTACACATATCACTCAGAGTTGATTTTAGTACAGCAAAGAGAACTCCCTATTCTACGTTACACTAAACACCACCCTCTGAATCTCTAATGCTTTGTCGCTTCTAGGATGACTCCACACTAGAACACTCCCGGACAAACGTTGAGCTCCACCAAGCTTCACTCACCGAAGAGCACCTCTATCTTCCACGGCCTAAACTCCTTTCAGATTTTAACGTAAGAACCAAGTTCCAGCAACAACAAACAATAAACAAAGATCAACAAAATGATTTTAGTATTAAACCATACATGGAACCTGTCAAGGAATAAACTCTCTAAAATTTCAGAGCACAAACAAACAAATCAAGGTTAAAAAAGAAACAAACAAGGAAGAAGATGAACTCTTTTAGCTCACAATAAAGGAACTATGTTCGAAATAAATACTCATAACACAGCTAAGATATGATCATCAAAGAATAAACAAAAACCCATAAACAAAGGAGGGAACCTGACGAAATGCTCTCTAAAATTTAGAAAACTAAACAACGAAAAACAAAGTTCGAAGATGCAAGGAAAAAGAAGATGAGTTTAAATAATCCTTGCTTGACCAATCTCTTTAAGAAAGTGGGGAAAATCTTGTAATCTTTTGTTATGACCACAAACAAAAGCTCACCAACTTTGCAGGACCACAAGAGGAGAGGTGGACCTATAAAGGAAAATTCACACAAAAACCATGAAAAGGATAAAAACTTGATGGGCAAGATATAAAAGAAAGATGCCACATGTGCAAAAGAATCATAGTAAAGCAAATACAATATCAAAGGTTGGCTTTACAAATGAGCAAGAATGAAGATGATAAAGGCCAATTTCGTGCTCCCCAATTCTTGCCAAGTCAGCAAACAAGGGCTAACATATGTTGGTCTAAAAATGGAAAAGATTCCACCAATCTTTTGGGACCACAACCAAAAAGGGAAAAAGCTTATTTCCTTGGACCACAAGAGGATATTGGGACACCTGTAGATGGTCCTCATGACAGCACAACAGATGGACAAAAAATATCTCAACTGATAAAGATAACAACATAACTTGTGCAAACTGAGTCAGACATGTGATGTTAGCACAGAAGAAGAGTGCGCGCACACACAAAGTAAAATGCGAGATGAAATGAAACATGCATATGTCTGACTTCAGTGTGCACACACATACAGCAGCTGTGCACACACACAGAGCAGCTGTGCACACAAACAACATAAGTTTGACAAAAATATTGAACAAAGTTTTTAACAGATTCTGTTGATAGAAAATGAAATGAAGTTTTTAATTCTAAAGAAACAAATGCAAGAAAAATATAAGGAGTAACTTTTATTTTTTAAGAAAAAAAGGGTACAACATGAGGACTTCACAAGAGATCAGCCATCTTAACCCAAACATGTTTAATTTAATTCTTTATGTATAATTCATCATAGTTCTTTATTCTAGGAAAGCTCTTCTCTTTCACAATCTTGCCAATTTTGATGCACACATATTGAGTAAAAATCGTCAATAAATTACATCAAAGCAGAATTATTAAATACCAGACTAAATTTTGTGTAAAATCATGTGAACGCCATATTGTGGTTGTATGGTTAAGACACGGAAAGGCGCATGTACATAAGTTGGAGAAAGCTCAAAAGAGAAATTTTGTAAAATCATTGCTAAAGCTAGTTTTGCTTCTAGCAACACAAAGTTTTGTCCAATGCATATTCTGGGACCCTAACCAAATGGAAAGAACAAGACTTGATCATTCTTTGATGCCTTTGAAACTCCTTGAGAAAACCTGTCAGGGTTGAACTCTTTTGCATCATCTCCCCAATATTCTTCATCCCGATGAACCAAAATTACTAGCATTGAAAGTATAACTCCAGGTGGTACAACGATTTCTCCCAATTTGTACTCTGTAGTAGTAGTTCTAGTAAATTGAGACACTGGTAGATATAACCTTAGTGCCTCATGAAGAATTTTGTGTAACTGCAAAAAACAAATTTCCCAGGGAATTATTTCATATAATCTTTGTTAATGAAGATCATTGACTTAACAAAAAGCCTTAGTTAAAGTTAATTTAAGAAGGAATATGTTTACTTACCTCTTTCAAGTGGTTCAACTCTTCAAATCGCGGTTCTTTATTCCCAAAAACTTGTAAAACCTCTTCTCTTGCATGTTCAAATCGCAGTTCTCTTGCACGTTTTTATAGGGATTTAGGGTTTGCTAACATCCAATTAAATCTCTACTGTTAAGTTGTTATCCCATCTAAAAGCTTAAGCTAATAAGTGAGGGCTTAACATATATTAGACCAATAGACCCCCTCACATCAAACTTGGGTTTTTTTGTTTTTTTTTTGTTTTTTTCTTTATCCAGTTTGTATGTGGGGATTCAAACTTGAGACATTTGACTCTGATACCATGTTAAGTTGTCATCCCGCCTAAAAGCTTAAGTTAGTAGGTGAGGGCTCAACATATATTAGACAAATACCCACAACAATTGGTATCAGAGCTAGGGATCGATGAAGAAAGCGATGGCTAGAAAAGAAGGAGGATTTGCACCATAGATCAACAAGTTTGATGGAACAAATTATGCATTCTACAAGATGCAAATTGAAGATCATCTGTATGGAAGAAAATTACATCTCCCTCTCTTAGGAAAACAATCCAAAAAGATGTCAAATGAAGATTGGGCATTCCTTGGCAAACAAGTATTAGGAGTCATTCAATTGGCATTAACCAAGAACGTGGCAAGTAACGTGGTGAAGGAGACAACCACAATAGGGTTGATGCAAATCTTGTCTAATATACATGAGAAGCCTTCTTCGAATAATAAGGTACATCTTATGAAAAGATTATTTAATCTGAACATGAGAGAAGATGCTTCCGTGATAGAGCATATGAATTATTCTAATACGATCATTAATCAACTGTTCTCTATAAAAATTAACTTTGATGATTAAGTTCGTGCCCTAATTTTTTTGGCCTCTACACTAAATAGTTGGGAGCCCATGACAACATCAGTTAGTAATTTAACAGATAGTATGAAAATAATACTCATCGATGTCAGGGATAAAATTCTCATTGAGGAGATTTGTAGAAAGATTTGGGTGAGATGATATCGAATGCTCTGAATGTTGAAACAAGAGGTAAGGGCTATGATAGAAATTAAAACCAAGGCAAAGGTAAATCAAAATCAAGGAATGGAAGAAGCAAGTCTGGTGTGGGAAAAAGATATAGTGTTTGAATTGTGGCAATAAAGGCCATATGCAGAGGAATTATAAAACACCAAAGAAAGAGGAGAACAACAATAATGAGGCCACCAATGCCGTAATTAAAGAGGTACAAGAAATTTTACTTTTATTTGTTAATAGTCTTATTGACTCTTGGGTTTTAGATTCAAGAGTTTCGTTCCTGACCACTACATATCGTGAAATTATAGAGAATTACATGGTTAAAAATCATGGAAAGGTACACCTAGCTGATGAAGAGCCTTTGGATATCATAGGTGTAGGTGCTGTTAGGTTGAAGATGGCGAACAAATTTGTGTGGAAAATCCAGAAAATAAGGCATGTACCAAGATTGATGCGCAATCTAATATCAGCGGGTCAGCTTGATGATAAGTCAAAATTGCTGATAGAAAAATTTAAGCTTATACTATATATCATTTCACTCTCTTGAGTACATCAGCACCCCTAGAATTTTCCTTCGTGTAAGTTTTGCACGAAAAAAAAAAAAAAGAAGTATGTGACAACCAAATACTAGCAATTCTATATTATTAATGAGATCATCACCCTTACCGCTTATAAATATTAAATCTTTTGTATCATCTATAATATTATAAGAGTAATGCTACAGTTACCGAAGGGTGTGCACCGAATTTATGCACCGAATGACGTGACAAAATCCTGACCATTGATTCATTATAAGTTAATATTAATCAACAGTCAGGATTTTGCCACGTCATTTGGTGCACGAATTCGGTGTATAACTTTCGGTAACTCTATCATTTTCCATACTATAATCACCAAGTCAAGCCACATTGTTTTATGATTACGATATTATTTTTTAATATTCTCATATGGCCGACAATACTAAGAAAAGAAAGATAAACTGCCATGACTCTTAACCACTTTCGACTCACTCTGAAAAACTTTGCCCTATGTTTTTATTACGACCATTCAAAATTATAGTTAATTAATTTATTACTTAAATCCGATTAATTCCAGAAGATGACAATTATACCAAGACAAAGATGAAAACCAGAGAACGCAAATTGTCATGAAATGGTGAAGACTGAAGAGGAACAAAATTAAACCAGCAAAGCCAAACACAAAACCTGCAACAAGTTTATTTAACATATGATAGAATTATTATTATTTTTTTTTTTAAAAGCAAATTAATTAAACAAGTGCCACTTTCTGGTGAGGCATCAGGCATACCGTATTTCTTGATGATATGATTGAAGTATGGCAAGATTCGAGGCGCAATATCATCGGAGAGGTTGATGGGTTTGGTTTTTGTTTGTTTTGTCATCGTGGACATTCTTTGATGTCTCCATAAAGAAGTTTGTACGAGTTGCCGGTGAAACCTTGCCGTCTAAGCAACCTCTCTAGCTTCTTCGGCTTGAACCAAACCCAATCCAGCGCCATCCACACACATGCTAAAATGGTAGCAAAAGCAAAAGAGAAGGCAAGGGATGACACTGTAATAATCTCCATTTTTAGGGAAGAATCTGAGATCTAGTAAGAGACTGAAATTAAATTCTAAATGGTTTATACAGGTGCCTATTGACTATTGTATTGCGGCTTTTACATATATAGTTGGGAGCTGAGAGTGCATTAAGTTTTGTAGGGAATTAATGGCTAAATTAATTAAGGTCATTTTCAGTATTTCAGCATATTAAAAGTGAAGTATCAAGTTGACCCTTAACGTAGAAGGATCATTTTTACAATATAAAACACATCATCAAACATGTTATTGAATTCAGAAGGGTGCAGTCAAGAATTTATAATTAGTTTATCCTTAATTTCATCAATAATTACTTAAATTGTACTAGAAATTTTAGGAATAAAAAAAAGAATTTTGTACAAATGTAAAGCCAAAGAAAAGAGCCCAGTCTCATGCCGGTGTGTAAATTAATTAACAGAGTAAATGAGGAAAGGTAAGAGTAAACTAAATTGAGTTTTTCATATTTTAACTCACCGGAAAAAAAATTAATCTAAGGGGGCGTTTGCTTTTGGGAATGTTTCATTACTGAAAAGATAGGATTACCAACGAGATAGATTACCTTGAAGATTAAAGGTGTATTTGGATCGGAGGCATATAAGATAACGGGAGTAATCTTTGTTTATTTTGCAAGATTTTGGTGTTTGGTTTGCAAGTAATAAAATATTACGAGAATCTTTTTTTGCAAATAGGTTGTGTTTGGATTGGAGGCATATAAGATAACAGGGTAATCTTTGTTTATTTTGCAAGATTCCGGTGTTTGGTTTGCAAATAATAAATATTACGGGAATCTTTTTTTGCAAATAGTGTTTACTATTGGTAATGTTGGGGGTAATCCGATACTACATCCCCCTCATCAAAACCATGCCCCCCCCCCCCCCCCCCCCCCCCCCCCCCCCAAGGATTAAAGCATTAACCGTAATCTTATATTTTTTTACCTATTATGCCCTTAATTAAATGTCATTTTGGACACAATTGCCCTCAAATGTCTACCAAATAACAATTACCCAAGCCCCTTACATTTGAGAAATTAACTAAAACACCTCAGCCACAAAAAAGTTTAAAAGGTAACAAAATAGCCCACACCACCAAGACCACTGCTGGCCATTACCACTACCGACCACCGGATCAGTGTGAATGGTGCACAACCGGTGAGATCTGGTCGTCATGAGCCGGTAGCCTTTCCGCCATGGATCACAGATCATGGTCGGAAACGGCTATCTGGGTGTTCATGGTGTGAAACGGATGACCAAAGAATTGGCCTTTTACGGCCACATCTTTGGCTTTAAATGGCCATAGATCTGGCCGTTTTCGACCAGATGGATTGTGATCCATGGCCAGAAAGGCTTTGTCTACGCATGACGACCATATACGACAGTCGTCTGCCATTTCGTCAACGACGACGGTGGTGGCTGGTTGTCAACAATGCCTTGGGATGGGGAGGGGTGATTTTGCTACAAATTAAAGTGTTATATGGCTAGGTTGTTTTAGCAAATTTCAAATGTAGGGAGTTAAAAAAAAATTCAAAAAATATAATAAAAAATACTATATATTAATATTTAAAAAGGAGGGCAATTTAGTAATCTTAACATACCCACCCATTATACTCAACCAAACAATTTATCACCAAGTTATTTGAACCAACCAAACACATTTTCTAAACATTCTTAGTAATCTTCAAGGTGATCTATTCTCCATAATATAATACCTTTATAATAAAAACATATATATGATCCAAACACCCCTAGTGTTTACTGTTGGTAATGTGGAGAGTAATTACCAGTCGTGTGCCATTTAAGGCAGCCGACGTGGTGGCTTGCTACTAGCAATGGCTTGGAGTATTTTGCTAAAATTAAAGTTTTACATGGCTAGACTGTTTAGCAAAATTTCAAATGTAGGTGGTTAAAAGAAATATTCAAAAAATAAAATTATCATATTAAAAAGGAGGGCAATTAGTAATCTATTAACATACCCACCCATTTATTCCCAACCAAAAATATATTCACCAATTTATTCGAACCAACAAACACATTTTAATCATTCCCAGTAATTTCAAGGTGATTTATCTTTCCGTTAATATAACATCTTCTTATATTAAAATATATATGACCAAACCCCCTAAGGGAAATGTTATTCTTATATGTTTGGTTAGATTGGTGGGTATAAATAATAATAGTTTGGTTGGGGGGAATAAAAGAATTTGGGAGAGTCTTTCACTGAATGCTCTTCTTTTTAATATTTTATTATTTAGATTATTTCTTTTAACCCTTATATTGAGAATTAGCTTCAAACCCTAGCCACAGTAAAAGTTTAAAATTTAACAAAATACCCTTGCCATGATAATCGTAAATTATACAGTTTTTATTTGATCTTTTGTCGGATTTCAGGTACTTTCTGTGCATTTGACCTGAATTGTTTTTAATTCGTTACTTTTTGTGTTCAGGTTAAAATGGACATTTGAGCAAATAAGGACAAAATTGGATGTTTTGACTCAGAAATTAGCGGATCTCAGAAGATTGGAGAGTTCCAGAGCAGGATAAAGCATGATGAAGCTTGTTCCCAAGGAAAGCACCGAGAATCGAAGAATCGAACGAGGAAGCAAGCAGAGTGGCAGTTCTGTAATTCAGAACTTTTCAAGTAGCTTCGCCCCGGTGAAGAAATTGTCTTCACGCGGCGAAGTAAGCCAGGGACGAATGTGTTTGCTTCATTCTTTGCCGTGGCGAAGAATTCTTCTTCGCCGCGGCGACAGTCAATTTTTCCAGTTTTGTTAAACGCACAGTTTCGTTTTGTGCGTGTTTTGACTGGGTTTTTGGACTAAGTATAAAAGAAAAACTTAACTTTTGCCACAAGGGTCTTTAGCTTTTTAGGTTTAGCGCTTTTACAATTTTCTTAGAGTAAAATTGAGTTTTTGGTTGTTAAAGGGAGAAGATTAGATTTTGACTGGAAGATTCATCTTTTGGGGAGATTTCTTAGCTTTCATTTAGTTCCATTATGTTGAACTTGTTTATTTCCGTTTTTCGTTTTTGTAGTATTAATTTAGCTATGAACTAATCTTTTATGGGTTAGGGTTTTGATTGTAGTTTGGATTTTAATGGGTTAAGTGTTTGATTGTTTTATTTTCATATGAATCTGCATGGGTTGTGTGTTACTCTGAATTTTTAATGCTTTATATGATGAACATGATGAGATTGAGAAATAATTCATGTTAGGCTTCTTGGGTAAACACCATTATAGTATTGGATGCTAGAGATAGATTCAAGAATTAATGAAATCATTTTAGAATTCTTTTGCTTAATGAGTTTGGAATTATTAATCTTCATTTTGTTGGGTGCAGAAGGTTAATAAGGATGAATAGGAAAACATAGCCCGAGAGGGTATGTTTAACACATTAGCGAGTTCGATTTACAACCATTGCATATGAATGTGAATTTAGTGTAATTTTTAGGTTTAACCCATAAAATCCAAATGAAGTCAAAACCCTACCCGTTTTGCCTGAATTGATATTCCGTTTTTCATACCGCTTTCTTAATCAAGTTTTAATTCTTAGTCTAAAATTCATTGTCATTTTAATTAAAATTTGCACCCACCAATCCAAAGTTTTCGATTGCTTCAACTAGGTAACATTAGGAAACTTTGTGCTTTGCTAACAATCCTCGTGGGAACAATATCCTACTCATCATTTTATTACTTAAGCGACTAGTGCACTTGCTATTTTTGCATGTTGTAGTAAACACGCATCAGCCATCCAAGATGACTACCGACCACCCGCCACCACCACCATCATCAGTCGCTAGAACGAAGCACGACTGGTTGGATCTGGTCAACCGTGCATCGATCTGGATATTTCTGGCCATACCCATGGCCATAAAAGGCCAGATCCATGAATCTAGCCATTTCTTTCTAACCAAATCCATGAAAAACACCAAATCAAAGCACAACTACTCAGATCTGGTTGATCATGCATCATTCTAGCGACTGTCGATGGCGGCCGACCATGGTCTTTTGGGTGGTATTCATGTAAATAGTTTACAGAGTAAGGGCATTACTGTCCAAAAATTTAATTACTTAGGGGTAAAATGGTAACAAAATTAAGATTAAGATATGTAAAATGAGGGACATTTTTGTCCAAAAAATTAATTTATGAGATTACTTAAGTCATTTTGCACAGTTGGGCTATCGTTATTTGATAGACATACGAGGGCATTTGTGTCTGAAATGTTAATTAATTAGGAGTAAAATGGGAACAAAAATTGGATCACCCCAGTAATCCCAAAATACTACCTTTTTATTGGTAATTAGATTACCCCAAATATCAGCTATAGTAATTACTATTAGCATTGGAAGATTACTGGAATCTTTTATTACCTAACAACCAAACAAGGAATTGTCCAGATTAAAAGATAGGTTAGCTGAATAATCTTTTATTACCGCTAACCAAACGCCCCCTAAGAGTATTGTAAATCGAATTTGTTTTGGAAACATATTTAACATGTAAGAGCTTTGCCTAAGAACTAATTAATAAAATAGAAAAATATCAAAACTAGATTTTGATAAGTAAATAATGAATTTTCATTGTATTATCTACACAAAGGAAGTCAAATGTTATTCCTTTTAAGTGGTATTATATCAATTGCTAATTTTTTGTATAAAATTAATCATAGGAAGTTCGGAACACCATCAAACAATCCTGATATTTATAATTTATAAAGCTAATATATGCATTTATTTCTTAAGATGAATTCACTTCATATCTTTTGTTCAATCCAATTTGTTAATAGTAGTTAGTTTATTGTTAGTTTGTATAGTTTGTACATAATGTAAATGTATAACATTAGTAAATGAGTTGGTTTACTGTTTTAGTTAGAGCTTGAGTTAGTTGTTGGGATAATTACTATAATATAAAATAGTGAGAGTTATACTTAATACAATGATGAAAGTTTTCCCCAAATTTCTCTTTTGCACTATTGTTCATTCACTTCAACATGGTATCAAAGCGTGAAATCTTCCACATTTTGTTCTAAAACTAAATCGATTAAACCCTTAATTTCAC